CCGAGGGCGTTTGGTGGTGGCGGTCTTGAGGATAACATCTTGAGGGTAACAGCTACAGGGCGCCGGGAATCTTTCCCCAGTTAAATATTTTCCATCCTCTGCGCTTCCTCCCTCGCTGAGGGGCTTCAGATGGTCGCTCTTGGGGCGAGCCAAGCGGAAGCAGCCAGCGGCGATGCCCAGAGCCGTGGGCTGGTGCGGGACGTGGCCGCCGGGGGCCTCGTGGCAATGCACAAACCACCCTGGTGGGCAAAGAGCCCCCCCAGACAGGCCGGTAGACGTGGAGCAACCTACCCGCTGCTGTTTTAGCAACCTAAGAGGCGGCAGCAGAAGTCCTCCTTGGCCTTCGCTCTACGCCGGGGGATGTCCCCGCTGTGTCGCAGCGATGGTCGCGGCGTGCTGGAGGCCACCCACCCCCGGGAGCCTCCGCGGAGCCTAACGAGAAACCCTCCGTTTGCCCCGCAGGTGACTACTTCGGCATCCTGATGGAGGCCAAAGTGACGAGCTTCCCCTTCAGCGTCCTGGATAACCCCATGTACTGGGGCAGCACCGCCGTCTACCTGGGCTGGTCCCTCATGTGAGTACCCGGCCGGCTCCAGCTTCTCGTTTCCTGACTATTTTTATTCTGAGATGCATGCAAAACCTCCTGCTATTATAAAACACTGGCGGCATTAATTACAGCAAAATAAGTGATGGCCGAGTGCTGGGGAGAGGAAACGTCAGCAGATGATCTGCAGCCGAGCGGAGTCCTTGGCAGGCTCCGCGGTTGGAAAAATCAACAGCCGGGGCCAAATTCACGCCAGGGGTCACTCAGCGGGGCAGGGCGCTGATACCAGGCATCAGCGTGGCCCTGTAATTACTGCTGGAAAAATCAAAACAAGCCAACACACCCGTCCCCCCGCTGCATGGTGATAACACTTCCGAAACACTCCTCATGTGACACAACACAGCTTTATAGCCTGCTTAGGAGGAAATGAATAAGCTGTAATCTAGCAGTAAATGAGCAATATACTCTATATATTGTGTATTGAGTTTTATGTGGCTTTATTTAATACCACATTTTATTTATTTGCCCAGGCTGCGTTACACGGGGAAGCCAGATCCGCAGAGCGTTATGGGCTTTTATCACTAGTTATTTTGCACAGGAGCTCCCGAGTGTGGCCACCTCTCTCCTGCTCAGGGGGGAAAGCAAAGTACTTCGCCACTGCCTGGTCACCTTTCTTCCAGTTTAACCGTGCACGGCTTTCTGGCCCTGCTAGTGAATAAGGCCGCCGTCCTCCGCTGCTGCCCGCTGCGCTTTGCCGGTGCTCGTTCTGCACTGGAGACTTCCCGCGGGAGCCGTCCCTTCTCGCAGCCCGCGCCCCTTGCCTGCCTCTGCGCCGTATCCGTCCCCAACCCGG